GTTTTTTTGCATTTTTGGGGTTATTGGACCAATAGAAACCTTTCTACGCTTTTAGATTTTTGTCAAAATTAGCAGGACACCGCCCCTGTCCCGTTAATTCAAAATGTCCTGCTAGTGTTGCGTGTATTCTGACGAAATGTCCTGCTAAACCACATATACCAACACACACACACACACACACACACACACACACACACACACACACACACCAAGGAGAGAAGAAAAAAAAAACACAACTTCACAGTTTTAGTGGTTTACAAAACCAACTTGATTTCTGCCTCGTTTCATAATGATTTCCCTGCAGACTTTCATATAATCTAAGCTCTTATTCTCTTTTTGTATTCATTTTGACTCTGATTGACCTAAAGGAACAGTTTTGAGACAAGTGAGTTTTATAGCAGGTGTAGTTATCAAATGCAGAGCCCCAAATTCCTTCCGTTTTGTGTGCAAACACACAGCATTTGCATAAACCCGGCCGACCTCTAATTTTCCAGACAAGACTACCTATATTCCGGGGAAGATGAACAGCAGTTTTTCCCGGGATTCCAGAGCAATGAGGCAACAAATTAAAACAGACATTAGCGGTGAATTTGAGCTCTCGAGGGGAGTAGCAAGACACATGACTGGCAGAATCGTTGTGCAAACCTTCCCACAATTGTCTCTTTCATTGGTCCCATGGCACAGACTTGTTGCCTTCCAAAAGTGTGACTCAAGGAATGGGGGGGTGGAGAGAGAGCCCTGACTAGGTGGGTGGGATTCATTAAAAACGAGGGGGAGAAAAAAAAAAATCCCTCTCACAGACTTCTGATTCAACCCCATAACAACACCAATAGGAATCCACAGGTGTCACAGCTCCAAACTGACACCATATGATTGCATGTTAACCTCCAACAGCGATTGTGGTATTGCACTAATCGTTATCAGTGCTTTCTTTTATTTTTATTTTTATTTTTTTTTTGCTCACTGTTTGTCTGTTTCTTATACTTCATGACCCAGATCTTGTGCGGCTGTTAGACGTACATCAGGGCATAGTTCTTTGTGCATGTCAGCAGTCTGACCTGCTCACATGCAGTTACATGTGAAGGGCAACGGCGGATGTCGAAAAGGGGCAAAGATAACGGAGCAGGACTCCAGGGCTTTTTGGGTTTTCACTCTAGAAGTTTATGCAGTTTGTGAAGAATGAGAATGGAGGAAGCAAAGGGGGATTGAGCTCCATCTTTGGAGCTTCTGTTGATGTAAAAATAAATAAATAAATAAATAATAATGCTCTATTGCTGGTAAGAAATAGCCTTACAAAGTAGGTAGAATCAAGGAGGTGTACAGAGCCATGCAAAAGTATTTATATTCCTTGAAAGTTGCACATCTTCTCACATTGCAAGCACTAGAATCAATGTGTTTTAGTTGGATTTCGTATGATAGACCAACAAAAAGCAGCGTTTAATCCTGAAGTGGAAGAAACTGAAAACATTATTCTTTTTAAAGAAACACTGGCTTGCAGTTGAACCCAAACCTTTTTACTCTGGGAACACTGAGAACTCATCTGCCACCTAATGACTAAATACTGTTCATCTGTGTGTAATGTAATCTCAGAATACATGCAACTGTTCTGCATAAGCCTCAGAAATCACAGCAGCATCATAAAGGAACATACAGTTTAACAGTTTAAAGCACTGCTAAACAATATTCCATTCTGTCAACATCTTAATACGTGATGTCCAAACTGTCACCTGAAAATGGAAACGGTTTGTCACAGCCGCAAGCCTAACGGGACACGTCTTTCCATCTAGGCTGACAGGACCAATTAAGTAGAACATTAATCAGACAAGCAGTCAATCTGCAGGAATCCCCAAGCCCAGGTGGAGCATCTGTTCTTAGGATGATTGTTAGCAATACAGTGCTCTCTTAGTTTGTTTGAAGGGCAAGAAAATGGACGTGATCAGTACAAAAATAAACCAGCAAATACAAATTAATGACGCAGCTTTCATATTCCTTACAGAAAAAAAGATTTTTGTCATTCCATCATCATTTTCCTTCTACATCACACCAATGAACTAAGTTGGATTTCAAATAAAATCTGAATAAAACACACTGCAGAGACTTGTTCTGCACTGAACTGCACCTCCAAAAGAAAAAAAAAAAAAAAAAAAGGATGGTCTCAATTTCGTGCAAAACCTTGATGGTGAACCTGCACCACACGACGTGTCTGCAGCGAGATTAACTGCCTTTCCTCAACTCATCCCCAACTTTGCTTTGGTTATCCTTGGAGAGTAAGGATGATGGATTATGGTGAGTGAATGTTGTCAGGGATTTGGACTCTACAAGGAAAGAGCAAAGGCATCCATGGTAAATAAAAAAAAAAAAAAAAAAATTGATCAGAAGAGCCAGGAAAGCTTATGCATGAAAGTTAGGTGGGTGGTTATTTGTCAGTGCTACAAGCCCCGTCTTGCCCCCTTTTTTTCTCCTCAGTCTGTACTGTATATCTCTCATCACGACTGCGCTGGAGGCACAATGTGCAGCAGCCTTCGTGGGAGCCTGTCTGCAATGATTGCCCTGCTCCTCCAACGTTTGTATATGTCTTTCAGGAGACACGGGTAAGACGGAGGGGGCGGGCGGCGGAGGGTATAGGTGGGTGGAGCGAGGTGGGGGCTTCTCTAAAGTCTGACAAATTGCTGAAAATTGCCTTCACACAGCCATTCCTGTTTGGACACACTTGCCACATCTGGATGTGATCTGGCAACAAAAGTGCCGTGGCGGAGGGCTCAGCTCCCAGAGTGGTGCCACATATTACCCAAACCCCTCGCCTCCTCCGCCTCACTTCCTCCCTCTCTCTCCTCCTCCTCCTCCTCCTCCTCGGGTTGGATCTGCAAACACACAGCCCCCCCGCCCCCCGCCATCCCTCCAACTCATCTCTCCGTGGGGAACCAGGAGCTGATGGTACCGTGCGCTGACGCTAAGCGGTCGCCCCACAGACAGGAGCATTCCTGAGCACCTCTCTGACTTTAAGGGTATCAGTGGGTTGTAATTGAGGCGTCTGCTAAAATAATTGCTGCACTGTGATGCTGCGCCGCTGCACAGCCTTTCAAAGGAGAAAGCTGTTTGCAATCTGGCAGCAGAAGAATGCTGGGGGATAAATCATCTGTCTTTAACACAATAGCACACACACTCCCCCGCAGATGCAATAAGACTAGTTCTGTGAATCGTTTGTTGAGTCCTGACCATGTCACTTCACTGCAACAACTTTGTTACAGGCCCCACGACTTTATAGGAGTCGAGGCTTAAAACAATATCTGCCCCAGGTTGGCGGGTTTTTTTTGGGGGTTTTTTGTAACGGCGGTGATGCATTTAGCGAATTTCTGAATTATTTGCCTTTTCATGTACGCGTCAAATAAACATGCCGCTGACTAAGAAGTAGAGTAGAGGTCATGGGTAAATACTTGCAGCATTTTCAGCAGTGCAGCTGTGCAGCTGGACGAGGAAAAGCGAGCGCACAGCTGCAGACGGAGGCCTCGGCTTCTCAAATTGCCTCTGCTTCAGTTTCCTGTACTTTCCTACCGACCAGGCCAAAACGGGCTCATTAGACCCACCCCCAGTCTAATACTCTGTGATGTCATTGAAGTCTTTTTTTCCCCTCTTTTTTTTGTACTTTTCTTGATTTTTTTTTTTTTTTATCCCTTGTGCCAATGCCTCGGCTGTCACTGAGCAAATACTCCCAGGTGTTTGAGTAGAGCGAGCGAATGAAGAGATGTGAATGTTTGTTTTTTTTCTTTTCTTCTTCTGACGTTCTTTACCTGCCCATCTGTCTGCTGCTTTCCCCACATCTGCTTCAGTTTTGACTTCCCCGGGTTTTGTTTGTCCATCTGTTTGCATCACCCCTCCCCCATTCTTCTTCTTCTTCTTCTTCTTCTTCTTCTTCTTCTTCTTCTTCTTCTTCTTCTCTCCATCAGCAGAGGGAGGTTGAGGAATGATCAAGCCAGCTTTGAAGCTCCATGGCCCCTGCCCTGACTTTTCCCAGTACGTGAGCCCAGGCAGTTGCAAAAGCATTTAGGACCTTCTCAAGTATTACTCCATACATCTCAAGAACAAGAAAAAAAAGAAGAAAAACCAAAACATAGAAATGAGGAGTAGGGGGATGATGAGGGAGGATGAAACGGTGGAGTGGAACAAAACAAAAAGAGAGTGAATCCTCTTTTCCACCTAAGGATTTGTGGCTGATAGCTGAAAAGTATCCTCTCCAGTGTACTTTCAAGTGCTGCCTTAGACATGTGGCAGGCAGTGTGTTATTGAGCATGTGTATAGCCAGGGAAGATGGTGGACCCCTTTACATCCAGGACTAATTAGACATGACTCCAAGGGAAGTCAAAAATCGCCACATCATACGGTCAACACTTCCTGTCTTCCAACAACATAGGAATTAGGTTGTTTGAAACTATTTGCTCCACAGCTGTTGCAGCTTCCCATTTCCTGTCCGGATGCTCTGTCTGTGTGACTCTGTCTCTCTTCACCATCCAGTGAAAATAAATCAGGTGGATTTTGTGTCTGGCAGGGGGTCTGGTAAGATTTAGAATGAGTGGAGGACTCATCCATTATTTTTACGTTCAAGACTTTGAGATACTGCTTATGCTCCATAGATGTATTGGTTTTGGCCCCCCCCCCCCAGATTTTTTTAAGCAGTTGAAAACCAATCACTTTGCTGAAACTGATATGATGATCAGTGGTTTTAGTTGTTTTTTATTATTATTATTATTATTATTATTATTATTATTATTAT